AACAATTGTTGGAGATAAAACTTTAAATTAAACCTATGTTAAATTGTGAGCCAGAAAAAGTTCACACTCTCGAGTACAAAAGTCAACATAGTACTTATAAAAAATAATTTTTCTGACATTTTTACATAAAAGTTTTCTTTTTTTTCCACTCGGACTCAAAAAGTTTTAGTTCATATGAAAAGTTTGGATTTTTTTCAATTTGCCACTGCTACTGTTGGTTTTGAGAGTGAAGTTATTTTTTGGGGATTATTTTTAAATGATGTTTATACCGTCACGGTGGAGGATTGCGGATAGTTGGAATAGAAATAAAATCATAACTAGGATTTAACATGTTCTAAAGATTCAAGAAATAAAAATTGAACTTTCTCAAATCAGCTTCTTAAAAGTGTACATCACTAATGTACAAATTCCATGTGTTATCTCATAAACTCAGTTTTCCTTGCTACTTCATTGAAGTGCACACATTTTCGTGTCATTTATAATGCGCATCCAATGTTGTAAAAGTGCTTCTTTTATGAGTTTTTTTCTTTGTACTTAAAGATAAAGAAAACTTCTTATAAGGACATTTTATAAACAAGTAATTTTATTTTTTCATTATGAATGTAGTCAAGACAGTGGGCAAGTGCCCTGTAACTGATCAGACCCCTGTTTTTTTTATTGAATCCCCCTCTTAAAGGGTGCGGAACTGATAAATTAAAATTTGACAAATGTTGATCACTTTTGATTATTTTTTGATCATTTTTGATCATTTTGAATCTGTTTCTCAGTTCTGCACCATTGACCAGCCCTAAACTGAGCAAAAAATCTTACACAAACCGACAGACTGGCACCACCTGCTCATGAAACAATACCAAAAGTCCCCTTCTGCTTGAAAACTACACCAAAAAACTAAGCACAATGCGAAGAAAAGTTAATGAAAATGTCAACTTTATTAAATGAGTTTTTTTTTTGTTGCTGTATCAAGCTGGAACATGAAGTGGTTGTGTTATGCAAAAGTGAATGAAACTTAAATTATTTAGTGCTGCTTGACCACTGACTCTATGTTCAACATGATTGAGTCTGTCAATATGAAGTGGATGTTAATGAAGTTGTGGGAACGAAATTAATTCTACTTTGCTGTGAAACTTCATGATTGGAAGTTAATGGATAGTGTTGTGTCACTGATTGACAGTTGATCTTTTTAGTGGTTATTTAGTAATGCAGGAGGTTGAGAGAATATTCAGCCAGACCAGAAATCCGTTCGAAATTCAAATGAACAAAAATTTTCAAAAAAAGATTTAATTTTTAACAAAATAAACTTCCTACAAGCCATCACAAATCTCCCAAGACATTCTGCAAACTCAAATCGCTCGAAAGAAGACAGATTAAATACAAAACTTTCTTAAATTGAAAATCCTTCCACAAAATTAAACATTTCGCAACAAAATTCACTTCATCTTCTTCAGTTCTGTAAAAAAAAATTGGAAGGAGAAATAAATTGAAAATTTCCTCTCGATGACAGAAAATTATGGGGGAATTGGAACGAAGTTTTGTGGGATAATGACTTGATTTAGGATATTTTAGACGAAATTAGGTCAAGATAGAGGAAATTATAAGTTTGAGGTTATGGTTATGAAGATAATATGAACAACTTAGGAGGGCAGTTTGAGTTTTTTTTGATGCCAACCAATAGTTTATCTTGAACCTGATCCTAGAACATCAGTCAATAATTTAGTTGAAGCTGGTTAAGCTTAAATATTATAGGCTTAATCGAATTCGAGTCATGGTAGCAGAATTGATCAAAATTATAAAAAAATGATCAAAATTGAACAAAAATTATCAAAATCGATCAACATCTAATTCATCAGTTCTGCACCGTTGATTCGAGTTGTGAACTAATTTTTCCGCTTTTAGTAATTTAATCGTAATATGTAGCTACTAGTAGTTAAAAGCTTAAACTAGCTACTAATAGCCATCTTTCATTACTAATAGCTACTTATAGTTAAAAGCTATTTGATACGAGGTTTTACATAGTTTAAAGATTTTGAGAGTTCCTTGCAATCAATTACTGCACTCATAGAAAAAAAGTAACCATAATATTTGTTATATGTTTGTTAAACTAGTTTAACAAATTATTGGTTAAGTTTACATGGGTAAAAAAAATTTCAACCAAACTATTTGTTAAAAATTTTACAATTGAGTTTGTTAAATCAACAAATTTATTTGTTAATAATTGATTTAATTAAATTTTAATTTTTGTATTCAAAACTCTTGTTTGATTAATTTCAAACGATTCCCATTAATTTATTGCGTTATTTTTAATGAGAAAACTGCTTTAAATTGAATTTTGTTGATTTTGTTTAACAAATTAATTTGTTAATTTTAACAAAACATTTGTTACAATGTTTTTATTTGTAATTTGTTTTGGAAAATAATGATTTACAAACCAAATCGTAATTTAAAAATTAAATTTGTTCATTTTTTTAAGTCCTACATTTCTATTTTATTATTCATAAATTAATTTTAAAATTTGGATATATTTTTTAAAGAATTATTTATATTGGTTCTGAATCAAATTTTATAAGTAAAAGTTTACAAGCAGCGGACTAGCGGATCATCAACAGGAATTCAGAAGTTAAGCAACCACGGAAACATTTTAAAATAAGATGGGTGACCAAATTAACAATTTTCTGGTTAATATTAACCGAAAATTTGTTATTTTTTTCTTTAAAAAAAAATTTTAACAAAAAGTTTGTTAAATTAACAATTTTTATAGTTAACAATTCAACCTTACAAATAATTTGGTTAAATTTAACAAATAAGTTCGTAAACACTATTTTAACGAATTGTTTGTTAACATTTTCCATACAAGTTACAAACATTTTGTTACTTTTTTTCTATGAGTGTGGCCACTTCTGCCAGAAGTTACTGCCTCTCAGATCTCGAAGTCGACTCGAGTTGACTCTGGTTTTTTCGAGTCGTCTCAACTTTTCTAGAGTCAACACTAGACGAGTCGACTCGGAGTCAACTTCTTCATACAAAAAAAATTACCAAGTTGACTAGAGTTGACTCGAGAAAAGTTGAGTCGATTTGGTTTTGAGTCGAGTCAAGTCAACTCGAGTTGAATAGAAAAATGCGATAAATAAGTCAACGAAAAATTCAAATAAATCCCCTCCAAAAAGCAACTTCCTTCACAAAAAAAAATATCTTCAACTCATCACACGACTTCATTTTTCACATTCACATCATGTATATTATGATGTTAACTGCCTTTCCCTCCATTCAGAATAGCATCATACTTACATCCATTATGACTCAAATAAAAAAATGCGTAGAATTTCATTTCAGCATGTAAAATGTCACAGGAAAATCGCTCAACACAGTAATTTATTAAAAAATATTTTCTTTCAAACTTTAACAAAAAAAAAATTAATGATCCTAAATGTTAATGGTGTGAAAAGACAGCGAATCTGTTCTATGTATAAATTTTATAATATTTTTTTCGTCAACGAAGGCTGGAAATTTGATATTTTTTATGTATCGCTATCATGGAAATCGAGGCTGATTTTGGGCTTTGTTTGGTGCTGTTTATTGTAGCACGACAGTGATTTTTTAGGATGCTTTTAGGCTGATTGAGGGAATGATGGGCTTAAAATTGTTTAAATTGGTGTCGACTTGAAACTAGAACGTTACGACTAGCAACACTTCTAGTCAGTTAAGGCACACAACTTTAAATCATTTGATGTTCAAAAAACTCTTCAATTTCAGTTCAAAAAATGTTGCAAAAAGTAATCAAATTTCAGTCAAAATAATTAAGTTAACCCAAATACATTAAACTCATCTGTTAACTCAGTTGAGGCCACATTTAATGAGAAAATGATATGCACAAAAAAAAATATTGTTGAAATTCAATCCATCATAAGGCTCATAATTCATTTAGTATGTAGAATGATGAACGAGTTATTTTCATTAATGTATTCATTCAAATATTATTTTTAGATTTTTCTTCATTGTTATATTGATATTTAGATTTACTGACATTCAACCTTCAGTTCCACATCATGTCCTATTATCTTTTACCCAACTTCCTTTCCCTCAAAATGTCAAAACAATTTTTTAAATTTATTTATTTTGAAAATTAGCTAAAATGTTCAAAGAATTCTGTCAATCTTAATTTTTGATTTTTAAAAATAATTTTTAACATTTTTTTTGAAATATTTTTGTAAATTAATTTTTTTATTACTTGTTGTTTAAATGCTTTTATTGCTAATGAAAAACAATGCGGCAAATTTTGTCTTTTTTTTGCTTTTTTTTAACACAAATAAACTTAAAAAATTGTTAAAAATGATCAACAATAAAAATATTTTTTACTGTCGAGTTGAAAAAAAAAATGTGATGAAAATAATTTGTCAAACTGAGTGACTTGGTGACATGGTAAATGTAGAAAATATTTAAATTATGAAGATTTGTGTAATGGGTAGGAGTCACATGCTCAGACAGAATTAATGAGGAATTGCTTAAATATGATTTTTAAGGGGCTATTTTTAAGCAAATGATTTCATATTTATACATTATGGATGGTAAATAGCAGTACATTGAGGGTTTTGAGGTTACATTTATTAAAAATGAATTTTTTTCAATTTGTTATAAAATTCAACAATTTAAAAAACAGAAATTAATTTTATTAAATTTTCAAATCATTTTTATTTTTCAACATCAACTTAAAATTTAAAAAAATCAATTTTTTAAAACCTTTCAACTGGAAAAATGTTTAATAAAACTTTCACAACATAAAAAAAAACTTAAAAAATTTACTAATTTATAAAAATATTTTTTTTCTTTTTTTTTCTTTCAAATTTCTATGCTGTCTGCCTAACAACTCAATTCATACATAAAACAAAAAATATTATTCGCCTGATTGTGCTTCTTGCTCAAATTAACACATAAACACTAAACAAATTACTATTAAAACAAAAAAAATTGTATACAAAAACAAAAATACATGAAATGTTGCAATACAGCGAAGGAAATGGTCAATGGAAGGACACCGCTGCTGCAAGATCCACTATTTGGTGCACGACCAACGCCATATAGTAAGTAGATGTGATGATTAATTTTTTAACATTTTAAATTGTAGATTTTTTTTAAACAGTTTTTGTGACTTTTGTGATTTTTGTAGGTATTTAATGAAGGTTTATTTTGGTGTTGCTTAAAAATTCTCAATAGTATTTCTAAGAAAAAGAATTTGTTCGATTTATTTGATAAATTTTATTCGGAATTGTGACAGAATTTGATCAAAAATTTGATAATTCTGCTGAATTTTTCCCAAATCGCTTCAAAATTCAGCCATAAATTGCTGCATCCTGTCCTCGATATGAAGAATAAAGTTTCCCAATAATTACAATGTAATACAGCCATATTGCTGCTCTGGCTTAATTAGAATGCATAAAGTTAAAATAATAATAATAAATTCCACAAGAAAACCATCAAATCCTTCAATTTCATATAAAAAACTAAAGCTCAAAAATCTAAAATTTCACCAATAATTTCCTCAACTAGAACAAAATATAACATTCTAGATATTCAACTCCTCAGTCTCTATTATCTTTCACTCAAGGTAATAAGAGGAAATTTTAAACAAAAAAAAAGTTTGATGAGAGTTTTTCTTCCATTCTTTTCTCTTGTTTTCACAGCAAAGAAACAAAAAGGAAACAATTTTTATTGTTATGCGATAAAGGAAATTGAGAAATTTACGAAAAAGAATGGGAAATAAGAAAGTTATCTGAGTAGGCGGAAGCAAAACATTAAGCGACGATAAGCAAAAATGAGAAATTTTTGCTCTCGTTTGAATAATAAATTTGAGAATTTTCGGCTTTAACATTTATGGAATTAATTATCAAACTCTTTTTTTTGAAGCAAGCAATTCAGCAACTTTTTAATAGCCGTAGGACAAGAAGCCTGTGAACTTTATTTTATTGGAACAGCTTTATTTGATGGAAAATAATTAGAAAAATTTTCATACTTTTTAATTAGGTGTTTTGCTTTTAAGCGACGATTAATGTTTTATGAATGATGCAAGGGTGTGGTACTGATGAAATGATCAAAAATGATCAAAAATGATTAAAAATCATCAAAAATGATCAAAAAAATTATCAAAAATGATCAAAATTGATCAAAAATGATCAAAAATGATCAAAATTGATCAAAGTGTAATTCTTCAGTTTCACACCCTTGGAATGATGTTTGGAGTTGGATTGGGGTTGTCCATATTATTGTTTGGCTGGCTTAGAGCATTTTTGCCAATCTTAAGCTTGCGACCATTAAGACCATATTTCTTCTACAAGCTGGTTGATTTCTGATCTTTAACGATGGATCAAAATTAACCTTCATCGACTTTTCATAACTTTTCTTGGAGTATTTATGATGTTCTGTCTAAAAAAAGCTATGTCCTACCGATTTTTGTGCCATCTTGGTGGTAAGCCATGACGAACGAGTTGACAATCACTGGTCAAAAGGTTTATTTAAAGTTCCATTAATTTTAGATGAATTAAGGTTTAGAAACGATTCAAAATTAGAAAAAGTGTAACAATCAATAATTTATGTAATTTCATATATCCAAATATTCTAAGAAATCCTATAAGATAAGCTTCATTTCAGCAAAAATGAGTATTATCATTGACTCTATTAACATTAAGATAAAAAAAATCATCAAAAATGTTCAAATCGATTGACAAAACTCATAACAAACTTTTTAAACGCTTACAAAAAATGTCAATTTTTTTCCTATCCTCAATTTCCCTCGATTTCAAATAAAACGAAGAAAAAGGAACCTTGAAACTTTTTTCCAACGAATTTCTCAAATATTTCATTTAATTATTCTCGAGATATTCCAAAAGTTCTAATATTAAAATTAAGGAGATGACGACTCACGAGTCAAATTAATTCGAAATTATTAGAAAAGAAAAGTTTTGATGCTTGTATGTTAATGCTAGCAGGAGTTCGATATAAAGTCATTAAATGGGTCTTGATAGCATGAAAAAGTTTGTCTTTGGGTTCAATTAATTTGTTATTAGGCATTTTTTTTTCTAGATTCTTGATTTAATTAAAGTGTTTCGATTTGATTAAAGAATTAAAAGTAAATTTTTCATCTAAGCGGTGTCGATCTGGTTATAAGTTCACAGCATGTCCATAATTAGATGCAAAATTCAGGATCAAACTTAAACACTAAGACACACAAGACTTTAATTGACTAGTCTTTTGAAATCTTGGCTTTTATAGATCCCGAATGGCACAAGTCAGCTAATCAAATAGAAATCTGGCCTAAAGCTGGCATGACTCTAGCATGACGCTGGCTTCAATTAAAATCCAGACTTTCCCATGATGCTGGATTTAAATGGAAGCTAGCATCATGCCAGAGTCATACCAGCTTGGTGCCGGATTTCTGATCGATTAATCGGCTTGTGCCATTCGGGATCATTAACGGAACCAAAAATGCTACTTTAAAAGGCAAGATTCTATAACACTAGTCAATTAAGGTCTTAAGTGTTTAAGTGTTTAAGTTAAAGTATTCTGAATAACAGTCTAAATTATCCATACCTTACTTCCTGTCTGCCAAAAGGTACTGAAAACTTCTCTTCAATAACCCATCAAAGAATCTCTCACACATGAGATAAAATGATCAAAATTAACGAATTTAAAAGAAGCAAGCACAAAAAGATTTTTAATTGCAATAAATTTTTTAATGTGCGCACGAGATAGAATAGAAAAACGAAAGCCTTATTTGGTTCCAAGGTAAATAATTTAATGAATAATAAAAAAGCGCAAGTGTTGATGCGAAAAATTGCCGTGAAGAAGAAAGACGAAAAAGTTTTACCACCGAGGCTTTTGCGGTTTTTGTGGTAAGAGCGAAAATTTTTTCTTTAGCGCTGATAAAAATGCGAAGTTTCTAAGCAGACATGACGCAATCAAAGAGAAATTGTAAATTACATAAAAGCTTCTTTCTCTCGTGTTTTGAGGATGTGAGAAAAATTTTCTTAATTAAAATTTATGTGAAGGTTCTTGGAACTTTTCGTAATCTTAATTTTCGTTTTTTGAAGTTTGATGAAATTTTAAAACTTTTTGTTGATTTTTGAAAAGTTTATTTTGTGCTTTGTTGACTTTAAGTTGCTTTGAATGAAAATCAAATGTCATCTGACTGCTAATGGTAATAAGAAGTCGTTCATAAAGTAGAGCTCGCTCTGAACCACTGAACTTCCAAAATTCATTAAAATAAGTTCGATCCAGCGCTCTAATTTTGTTTAAAATACAAAACTCTTAATTATTTTGCTTTTAATGAAAAACATCAACTTGACGTCCTTATAACTCTCATCTCCGACGTTTCATCATCAACTTGTTGAAAATTGTCTCTGTGCTTACAATTTTGTTGTTTATTAAATGTGGTAAATATTATTATTATCAATTCATCACAAAGTGAAAAGTTTTAATGTCACTTTATATCATGATATGAATAAATTTATTTTGTAGTTTAAACAGACATTTTTCTTTCAACTTTTCTGTAATGTAGTAAAAGTTTGTATATACTGTTGATGTATGGGAAGGAACTGTGTGCTTATGTGAAGTTACTGAGTGCTTATATGAACTTTATCTTAGTCTACTTTAGTAGGGAAATGTGGTTTCAAAGTGAAAATGTTCAATGAGATTATCTGTAGCTTCGTTTTATTCAATTTAAAGAATTTTGTTGGTAATTCTGAGAAATGCTGCTGGTTTTTTAATGCTACAATGTAAAGGGATTATCTAAGTAGCATAGATTTGATTAAATTCATGCCCACGATATCCCAGTGCAGGACGAGTGCTATTAATTTGTGATTTTTCTATACCCGTCCGATTTACTGCTGATTCACGACTCTTTTAGACTCTAAACAAAGATGCAGAATTAATAAATCAAGTTTTTGTCTTTTCTGATTAATTTGATTAGTTCCACATCCTTGAAATGTGTTTTTTTAGATTTTGCCAGGCCCGTAGTCAAGAGGGTCTTGTCTTCTTGAACAACAGCGAGAGCACGGCCTAAAAGACCGTGTTAAGAGGGGGACAATACCCTTTTAGCTACGCGCCTGGACATATTGAGCTGAATAGACAGATAATTCGTTAAAGCAGAGGCCAAATTCAGATAAAATTAGCATCGCCTCTTTTGTGACGTTGCTCATCCTCTAGTCATTCAGATACTGACAAAATACAATTCAAAGTCAGTCACGTCATTTTCTCATATTTAACAATCCAAAAAAAAAAATCTCCATGTAAAGAAGCCTAAATTGTACTTCCAAAGAACACGAAAAAGATTTTTATCACAATAATTTTCTGTTGGTGCTGACGTTCTTAAATGAGAAATTTTTTCTGCGTATTTGCAAATTAGATACAAGCTTCATTATGATTCCTGAGGGGAGATATAATAAGGCGGCATGAAAAGTCTCTCATAATCTGCTTGCATAAATTAATAAGACTACTAAATACAAATAAACACACTTAGTTGATCCTTGATGTTGCCTGTAAGGTCTTTTTTGTTGGACAACGACGAAAAAGTTTTGGATATGGGTTTATTGATGGAACAAGAACTATACAAAATAATATTAAGAACCTTTTTTTGAGCTTTAAGTGTAAAAACTGGAGATTTATTTAAAGATTCTGACCTTCTCAAAATGTAATTTGGGTTTTGCAATTTTATAAGTATTTACATTGAGTTGGTCTTTAAGAATGCCAGATGATATTAAGGTAGTGCAGTGGGAGGGGTTTAGTAGATTGAAGAACTTTACTAGGAATTTTGACTATACATTTTTGACGATGCAATATGTGCAAAACTGATTGAATCATTGTTGAAGCATCAATTTCATCCTTGAGCTATGAGCTTAGTGCAGTTAAAAGAATGCAGTTCTTTAAGAAATTCCACAGAAAATGTCATAGCTTGGACAGAAACAAAAGTTTGTCACAGGGTTCTTTGCTGGAATCCGCAAGGGAAAAGACGTTCAGGAGCTCCAACAGCTACTTGGGTGCAGAACAGTGTAAAAGATAACAGCTTAGTGTGCGGACAGACAAATTGTAT